GGAAAGTGGTCCCAATTCCGGGCAGTGGGGATGCCAGCAATGCCTTCCCATCGGGGTCTGCACTGAAACCCCTGCCGTGCAGAAGTGCACAGGGCTGGTTCGCTGCTAAACTGGGGGTGTTTTAGTAAGTTACAGTCATCCCTGCAGGACTGGCAAGCTTCAATCTGCCATGTGTCACGGTACGCTCCCCGAAATGGATGCCTTGGGTTGCAGAGTGCTGATGAGCAACCTCTGAGTGAGCGGAGAGGAGGCATCTCCCGGGGCAGCACTGGCCAAAGAGCTCTCCAGAGGCCTTGGGAAACATGGACTGCAAAATAAACAATTAACTGCAAAGTGATTACATTAATATTGCTGTAGAACTAACTCCCTGGCTTTATTAGCATCTCTTTAATTGAGGCCTGCTTAAGCTTACTAGTTCAAAGAAGCAGCCGGAGCCCATACCAGATTGAAAAGGGGCTGCATTCGATACAGTCATTCCTTAATGGGTGGTCCACCCTCTCTTGTGTCTCTGAAAAATTTAAGCAGTTGCTCAGCATCCTTGTTCTGTGACCTGAGTATTACTACTTTAAAGGTACCACTGTTTTAATTTTAATCATGTGCTCTTTGCAGGATTGTACCACAGAGCAGAAGCCAAGTTGCTCTGGTTGCAGGAAGGTGCTGGGTGCCCTCGTGGTCGTCTTCTTTAGGGAACTGCTGGTGTTTCTTGGGTCGCAGTCTACCACGGTCCTGGGGTGGGCTGGCTCCCAGGGCGCTGGCCAGGATCACAGGGCTCTCCCAAAGAGCTGTCAGCACGGCCATGCTCTCCGCTGGCACAGGCTGGCATGTATGCCCGATTTCCTCCCTGAAATTCTGTTTTCTACCACCCAAATCTAGACACGATGTAAGAAGAAAAACTGACTGGGGTTTAAATTGAAGGTTTTGTCAAGTTATTTAAACTTCTGTGTTTTGCAGGAGTAAATAACCCTTGCTGTGCACTGCATAGAGGCGATTACTGATTATCATCAATGCGTTGGGACCAGACAGATTCCTGTAAACAGGCTGGACGTGGTGTCTCCTCCACTGGACATCTCTGGTGAATGCCATGAGCTTCAGCCCACCCGAGGTTCTCCTGGCCCATAAGCCTCACTCACCCCTCTCCCACCAGCCCTTCCCCAAGGCGCTGCCTCCTCCATCCCCCTCTCTGCACTGCTCACAAATTCATCCCCCTCCTTGGGGCTCTGCGACAGTGCCAGGTCCCCCCTCTCCTGCCAGAGGTCTTGTTTGCTGGAAAGCAGATGGCATTTTACCAGATCAACAAGCACTGGAAGGGCTTTAATTAAGAAACCAACAGGTTAGATCAAGTTGAGGAGTGGCTTCAATGTGGTAAATTCTTTAGGAGTAATAGGTTCTTTATTCGGTGGCATATTTATAAACTCGCAGCCTACACTCACGCTGTTAAGAGTAAACAAATGCCAAGGGTAATAGTCAGCTTCAGACTTTACGAGCAGCCTGGGGTGTTGCAAGGTACAAGGTAATCCAGGCTTAAGCATGAAGGGGGCTCTTTGATTTCTTATAAGGAATGAAGGTTTTTATTGAGACCCTGGATATCCAGAGGGAGTTACAGTGATGGGTTACTTCTTTTAGTTCCTTTCTGCTGGTGATTTATTTCCTGACAGCACGCAGCTGCCTGTCCTCTCAACCAGCATCTCGTCAGCAAGCTGAGTGCTGATCTTCAACCTCCACTTCCACCTAAAACCTTCTCAAATCCTCCTAACACGTCGGAATACATGCAGCGAGAAGAAGCAGGAACTATTCTTCATCTACAGAGTTTAATGCTCTGGTGCATTTGCTGGAAATCTCGTGGTGCCAGGGGAGTTTATCTGCCAATTACTTCTCAAAAAATAACAAAGGGTCATGCAGTACTTGGCAGATAAGGGCACATAAGGGAGAAGAGAACTGGGTTTTAATTGGATCCCAAGTATGTTGAACAAAAAAATTTCAGAACCATCAATTAGCTGTTGGCCTGGGGCTAAAATTTAATTGAGAGAATAGTGCTTTTAGGATGTCTCTGTCAGGGGTGAAAAAAGCATAAAGGGAGACTGGAAATGCAGTGGGGAGTCAGAAAAGATACTGCTGGAGATGCTTCAGGGTTGAGCTGTTACTTGGGTTCACAGAGGTCAAGGCCTTCTGTCAAACCACACATCCCATGCCTGAAATACACCTCAGGTCAGGACGGACGTTGGTTTCCAAGCTCAGAGAGTAAATCTTTGCCATGTGGTCTCAGGGCAAAGCTGGCTTTCCTGCTGCTCCCTGCACCCGCAGCCACAGGGTGAAGGGCTGGGGAAGCGGGCAGCCCGTCCCTGAGGAGATGCTGCCTGTTCTTGGTGCCCCGGGGAGGCACCATCCTCCACAGCCCCGTGGCACGGAGGGCAGCTGGGCTCTGCTTCGCTGCCGTGGTCTGTACCAAAGCAAACTGCATGGGGTTGCAGAGTCCCAGTCCCCACTCTTCCTCCTCTCCAGTCCCACTGTGCTTGCGGGGTGTTACCAATTTACTGCACTGCTAAGACAGGTTAATTTTCTCCTCTCTTCCTTCCTTGCCATTCTCTTACAGCTGTACAGGGTGGTTGGCTGGAGAGCAGGGAGGGAAAGGGGAGAGGATGGGATGGGATGCTGCTTGCTGTATGTCTCCAGCTGTCAGGGCTGGCTATGGCACGTGTGCACCCAAAGGTGCCTGCCAGCTCAGGGCCCTGCGCCCCAGGGAGCTGCAAAGCCACAGTTGGCTGTGAAGATGAAGAAAATGAATTCCTGTGCAGCGTAGACAGCACATGGAGTGGCTTAAGGGGAAGAAGCTGTTGTATTTAGAACAGAAAACTCATTGGAAGAAGAACTCATTAGCACAAGAGCCCAGCTTAGCTCGGGGCTATGCCATAAGTTGTTCCTGTTGGCCTCAGCCCAAGAGCTGATCCATCCAACAGCAAGAGCTGAGACATTCAAACCTCAGCCCTGGATTTTGCCATGTCCAGGGGACCAGCAGCACCCCAGGGCTCCCCTTCTTTCTCCTACACCTTACCTGTGTGTGACTTCAAGGCACCCTGATCCTTACTACCCTGGTTTGTCTGCGGATGCTTTTATCAATGGCTTGTTCTGAGCTGCTAAGCAAAAATTTGTTTTAAGGGGAAAAAATATCTGTGCTAGAGAAAAGATTGTTGCAAGCAAATAGTTTCATTTCGTAGCTGCTTTTGCTAAGTGGAACAATTCTCACACCGCAGAAGAACCTCTTCCATTTTCTTCAAGAAGCAAATCCCAAGCCTCTGTGCAGAACTACCTTAACAACAACAAAGAGGAACTTTGTTCATAAATTCCCAATGTACACAAAAGAGCACAAAAAGACACAAATCCTTAAACTCCAAACACACACATTTTCAAATAATTGCAAACCCCAATACTCACTCATCCTACAGTTATTTTGGGGACAAAGTAAATACTTTAATAAGTCACAATATAATAATCATACATGCAAAGCCACCCTACACCAAAAGGAAATCAATCCTGGACAATTCCTGACGCAGCAATGGGAGGTGAGGTCTTGTTCTGATTCTCCCAGGGAAGTGATTTCCCGTATACACAGAATGGTTACTTCATATCTTGTGCTCTTAAAAATATCACACAGATATTTTCCAAAGTGTATGCAAAATTCTAAGATCATTTAAGGCTATAGTTTAGCAAAACAATGGTGTTGAAGAGTGAATTGGCTGTTCAGAGAATTTTTTACAGTCACTGCAGGGTTACTGGTGGTTGACATTTGTTTTATTTGGCAAGAGCCTAAGGGTTTGGCTCATGTAAAAATCTTCTACATTTTATTCCTAGTCTGGATAGTCTCTTGAAAGTCTGGGGCAAGTGCCCTTGGGCTGGTTTCTTGGATGCCTCAGCTTATGAATATCCATTTTGCTCATGAGATAATAGCAGCAGTGAGTATTGTTAATGTCTCATAGTCAGTATGGCACTTATCACAAAACACTTGATGGACTTCCACAAATTATATTTAGGAATTAAGAGAATTACTTCACCTGCCATTGCAATGCAACTGTCGGTGGGACAGCGAGCAGCGCTGCTCGACAGTACACAGCTGCACCACACCGGGGCTTACAGGACAAGGCTACAGTGCCCAGTGGAAACAACTAGAGGAATCTGAACAGAAAAGGTAAAATTATCCAAAAAATTATTAGATGACAATGTTGGAACTATTACTGTTACCTTAGGGAACGCTCATTATCAGTTTGTTCGTTTTTCTGTAGCAAATCCAGCTGATCTGGACCTTGGGTTTATATGCTACTAGCACAGCAATATTTCCAGAAGAACAGGGTGAGGTTCATGACACCCAACTTTCGTTATTCCTAATGTAGGAGTCTCCACCTGAGAGAGTCCCTTTACAGTCAAGGGACAGAAATAGTCACATCTCGGGTGTCATTCACCTCCTCCATAGGTATGCGTATTCCTCGGAGGACTACGCTGAGAGGAGAGGACTGCTTCCTGGAATTGCCTAGTTGTTCCCATAAGCTCTAAAAGGACTCTAGAGGAGCAGCTCGCATGGGGTGGCCGTGTTACAGGCACGTAAACTTGGGTAGGTGAATCATGCCCTGTAAGAAAACTGGTCTAGCAAAAAGAGGGTTTTTTTTCCCTTGACTGCCCTTCTCTTCCTGGATTTCCTTTCAATGCTTTGGCCCAACTCAACAGTCACACTTGCAGGTAACACAAAACTGTGGTGCACTGCTATATTTAACTACAGATTCTTTAAAGATGCTAAACATTGACCTGTGCCTAACACTTCACCAAACAAGAATAAATTAGCATTAAGGAAAAGCAAATTAATTTTCCTCTAAGAATCTGTTTTGTTAAATGCCCTGGAGAGGTATTAAATTAAGCTTGTTGCAATGCCAAAGCAATTTCTATTGGCACCTTCCCAACACAGCGCATCCAGCCACACAGCTCCCACTGCCTGCATTGATTCAGGGTCCCAGGATTTATTTGGCAGGCTTGTTCTTCCTTGCAGGTGCAGGGAAACTGTTCAGATCTTCTTGTTCGGTGACATTGTGATCGGAGCTGTCATGAGAATAGTCCTTCATAACACTGTAGTACACCGGGGCGGTGTAGGGCGCAGGGTTCTCAGCACCTTTCTCTTCACACTTGCATAACTTCCGAAAGGCAGCCCTGAACTTCTGTGACATGAGGTTGTAGATGATGGGGTTGATGGCACTGTTCAGGTAGATGCACATGCGGCAGAAGAGAAGGAACCAGATGTTCAGGTACGGAGGGTCCATGAAGGAGTTCACCACAACCAGTGTGCGATAAGGCATCCACAGAAGGGCGAAGAGGACCACCACGACAGCCAACATTTTCGTCACCTTGCCAGTGGGGAATACACAAAAAGAGAAATAGTCAGATGATGCTAAGTCTCCAGCAGATCTTTCCCACCTGGAGAAACGGTGCAGACAGCTACTTCAGTCTACATATTGCTTATGTCGCTCTGTAAGTGTTTATAATAAGCACCCAAACCATGGGGCTGTATATTACTCTCTGAATCAATTTTGTTCATGAAACAATCTTGCATAAATAAACCCCTTAAATGACAGGTTTTCACCTACCATTGAAGAGCTTTTGAAACTCTTCAGAGCAAGCATCCATCACCTTGGAAATGGGCTGGGATAATCATGGGAATTTCTGAACCCGAAAGCAAATTTGAAAATTGCACATCATAATAAACCAATGGGGAAGCTAACTTGTGCAAAAGTGGGGTCCTAAGTTTTGGGGGTGCCGTGGGGTATATCTCAACTCCTTGCCTGGGATCTCCAGGTTTCCTACACCAGCTATATTGTTCCAGGGACGGGCTCCCGGTACAGAGCAGCACTGGGAGCAGAGGAGACTGCCTGGAGTCTTACACAAATTCCTACTTGTGCTGATCTGGGAGTTACTTAGCTAATTGGTATGGGTTATTTTAATTTTCAGCACACTAGGGAAGTACTACATTAACATATTAGGAACAAGGAGATATTGAGAATTCAGAAGTGAGCAGTAATTGCCCTCAGCTCGACTCAAGCTTGTTTAAGAAAATGGGTTTTTGTACTGAAACTCCAGTGATTCTAATAATTTCGACAGCTATTTCTGGTAGGTGACAACCATCCTCCAACATATACTTACAGAATACATGTGTCCCCAAGGAGGAAAGTATGAGTAAACACTGATGCCTCACGCATATTAAGGCAGTAGTGTTTCAAACGTCAGAAAGGGAGTTGTGCAATGACTCCAGTTCTCGGTATGGAAAGAAGCACTTGGATCACGCTCACAGTCTCTCAGCTTGTTTTGGAGTGCTTTTTTTACTTAGTCACAAGCAACTCCGCCTCCCTGTAATGCTGTGAGTAGAAATT